TTGTATATAAGACCAAGGGTATGGGTCGAAATCTCTAGGTAGGCTGTCACGTTGTATATAAGACCAAGGGTATGGGTCGAAATCTCTAGATAGGCTGTCACGTTGTATATAAGACCAAGGGTATGGATCGAAATCTCTAGGTAAGCTGTCAAATTGTATATAAGACCAAGGGTATGAGTCGAAATCTCTAGGTAGGCTGTCAAATTGTATATAAGACCAAGGGTATGGGTCGAAATCTCTAGGTAAGCTCTCACGTTGTATATAAGACCAAGGGTATAGGTCGAAATCTCTAGGTAGGCTGTCACATTGTACACACGACCAAGGGTATAGGTCGAAATCTCTAGGTAGGCTGTCACATTATAAGGTCGACGATAGAACATTCTAGGTAATCTATTAAATTATAAAATAAGTCCCGAGTCGAAAGCTCAAGGTTAACTAGATATTTTAATTTACATAAAAACAACCTGCTTTCGTTACATTTCCTTCATGAGAATATTTGTTTAACACTGCGATATAATTATAACGTTACCATAGCTACATGTACGCATGCCTTAACACGATATAATTATAACGTTACCATAGCTACATGTTCACATGCCTTAACACGATATAATTATAACATTACCAAAGCTACATGTACACGTGCCTTAACACGATATAATTATAACGTTACCAAAGCTACATGTACACATACCTTAACACGATATAATTATAATGTTACCATAGCTACATGTACACATGCCTTAACACGATATAATTAAAACGTTACCAAAGCTACATGTACACGTGCCTTAACACGATATAAATATAACGTTACCATAGCTATATGTACACATGCCTTAACACGATATAATTATAACGTTACCATAGCTACATGTTCACATGCCTTAACACGATATAATTATAACATTACCAAAGCTACATGTACACGTGCCTTAACACGATATAATTATAACGTTACCATATCTACATGTACACATGCCTTAACACGATATAATTATAACGTTACCATAGCTACATGTACACATGCCTTAACACGATATATTTATAACGTTACCATAGCTACATGTACACGTGCCTTAACACGATATAATTATAACGTTACCAAAGCAACATGTACACGTGCCTTAACACGATATAATTATAACGTTACAATAGCTACATGTACACAGTCATGCCTTAACACGATATAATTATAACGTTACCAAAGCTACATGTACACATACCTTAACACGATATAATTTTAACGTTACCATAGCTACATGTACACAGTCATGCCTAACACGATATAATTATAACGTTACCATAGCTACATGTACACAGTCATGCCTTAACACGATATAATTATAACGTTTCCAAAGCTACATGTACACATGCCTTAACACGATATAATTATAACGTTACCATAGCTACATGTACACATGCCTTAACACGATATAATTATAACGTTACCATAGCTATATGTACACATGTCTTAACACGATATAATTATAACGTTACCATAGCTACATGTACACATACCTTAACACAATATAACTATAACGTTACCATAGCTACATGTACACATGCCTTAACACGATATATATATTTATTTCCCTGGTTTATATTTTCTTATCGTTTTATATAATGAAACTGGCCTCTTATTCCATATTTCAGTGAATGTGCCTCTAGCAGACAAAACAGCATTCGGAACAAAGTACGTGGCATCTTAAGTATTGACGTACATTTGGAAAATCCCCTTGGAAACAAGTTTGGGTTGGATTATTTTGACGTCATCATTTCGAGCTTGTGTCTCGAAGTTGCCTCAGAATCATTAGAAGACTACACGAGAGCGATGAGGAACATGTGTGGCCTGCTTAAACCGGGAGGACACTTAGTCCTTGTTGGTTTATGTGGACAGTCGTTCTATCAGGTCGGAGACAAGACCTTCAGTAGCCTCCCTTTGCGACTTCACCAGGTTGAGGATACTCTTGAGCACCTGGGAAATATTCTTTTGAGCATGCGCTGGATCAAAACACAGGAGAGTAAATTCAGTGACACAAAAGGCGCTTTTGTTATTGTTGCTCAAAGGAGCAAAAAACCCTGATGTTAACAATAAACCACTACCAAATTATGTAGCTGTGCATATAGGTAGCTACAACCATTACATGATTGATCGAGACTCGGGAGGGAGAGCCGACATAGTGACATTAACTCATCGGTGGTGCACTCGTAAAAGATGTTAAAATATTAGCCACATTCATGAAATTTCAGAAACGTATTTCCTTTGAAGTTCGTAATCATTTTGATGCACTGTATTGGCTTAAAAAACAACAACGCCGCAAATAAATGTTTCTATTACATCAGTAGGTGTTGATTCAAAAAGAATTAATTTAACCAATCGATGATGAAATTGAAAAAATGAAAGAATATCGAAGGATATAAATTAGGAGCCTGTAAAATGAAGTATTACACTTCATCGAGTCATGTCTGATCCATCGGCAACTTGTGTTTCGTGCTTCCGTGTTGTTTAATGTTCATATATATACGTCACTCCCGGGGCAGCACCCGCGGGCCAGTTCCATTCTACTTGCTGGTCGAGGAACTTTTCAAGGAGGCCACCGCTATTCCTCTATAGGTCAGGATGATAACGGAGGGAAAGCTGAGACGATTACAACAAAGGTGCAGGGACAGTAGGTTCGGCCTTGGAGATCTTACAGGAGGCAGATGTCGACTAGCAGGCTTCTCCGAGAGTGCTCCTTTCTGTTATAGTGTTCCGTCATCTACCTAACTACCTGTGTTCATTTACATACTAAAAGTATATAGAACATTGCATAGGCTCTATATTAGATATTACATATTTCAATATTCAGTATATTTGATGAAAATAAATTGTCCAACGAAGTAGTTTCTTTAAACATTGTTGAATATTAGTGTAATGCGATTTATGTCTAATAAATTAAAATATAGTGTATTAAACGAGTTCTTAGTGTGGTGTTATTATTGCTGTGAACAAACGTCAACGAATGACTTTTCATGCATCATAACGTGATGCTACCCAAAATTGAAATTGTTTCCAATGTATGAGGCAGTATTTTTTATTTTCGATACCATAAAATTGTAACTATATAAAAAGAAAATTTTCTTCAAAGAAGTGTTTCAGTTGGGGTAGTGTCACGTTATAAAATTTCAAGAACAAGAGGCCCAATGGGCCTGCATCGCTCACCTGGTATTAATCTCACAATTGTAACCTTAAAAGCGGAATAAAATAAAGCTACAGGCAAAATATCAGTGTCTTGACTTCAAGTCATTCAGAAGAACCTGTTAAACGATTAAAACATATTTGACCCCTTTGACCTTGAAAGTCAAACATGGACATTAAGTTAAACACCTTATACCTTTTGTTTATGGAGAAGATGACTTAAGATGTATGCACTATGGACCAGATGTGACCATGAAGTTGTTTAAAGATTTCAACATATTTGACCCCTGTGACATTGAATGTGGGCAAAGGTCATTAATTTAAACAACCTTCGTAGCCCTTCATGCCAACATCCTTCTGGCAAAATATCATAACCCTGGACCTTTTGGTAATACAAAAGAAGATGTTTAAAGGTTTTTAAGACAATTGACCCCTGTGACCTTGATTATGAGTGAAGGTCATTTGTTTCCACAAAGTTGGTAGCCTTTCATGCCAACATCCTTCTGGCCAAAAAGCATCACCCTTGACCTTTTGGTTATACAGAAGAAGTCATTTAAAGGTTTTCAAGACAATTGCCCCTGTGACCTTGAATATGAGCAAAAGTCATTCATTTGAACAAACTTGGTAGCCCTTCATGCCAACATCCTTCTGGCCAAATATCATCACCCTGGACCTTTTGGTTATACAGAAGTCGTTTAAAGGTTTTCAAGACAATTGACCCCTTTGACCTTGAATATGAGGGAAGGTCATTGGTTTGAACAAACTCTGTAGTCCCTAATAGGCTCTATCTAAAGAAGCCATCAGCCAATTTTGAAGATTATATACCTTTTAGTTCTTCTTCAGAAGTCGTTTGAAGTGTTTGACACATTTGACTGCTGTGACCTTTAAAGCAGATCAAGGTCATTTTCATTCTCAAACTTTGTTGGGCTCTATGGGCTCTATCCAAGAAATTCACCAGCCAAATATAAAGATTCTATACCTTTTGGTTCTTCAGAAGAAGTTGTTTAAAGAGTTTGACATATTTGACTGCTGTGACCTTGAAAGCAGGTCAAGGTCATTTTCATTCTCAAACTTTGTTGGGCTCTATGGGCTCTATCCAAGAAATTCACCAGCCAAATATAAAGATTCTATACCTTTTGGTTCTTCAGAAGAAGTTGTTTAAAGAGTTTGACATATTTGACCTCTGTGACCTTGAAAGCAAGTCAAGGTCATTTTCACTCTGAAACTTTGTATGGCTCTTACTCAGGAAGCCACCAGCCAAACATAAAGATTCTTTACCTTTTGGTTCTTCAGAAGAAGTCGTTTAAAGAGTTTGACATATTTGACCGCTGTGACCTTGAACGTAGGTCAAGTTCATTTTCTTTCTCAAACCTTGTCAGGCTCTATCCCAGGAAGCCACCAACCAAATATGAAGGTTATATAACTTTTAGTTCTTCAGAAGAAGTCGTTTGAAGCGTTTGACATATTTGACCCCTGTGACCTTGAAAGTAGGTCAAGGACATTTTCATTTGCAAACTTTGTTGGGCTCCTACCAAGGAAGCTTTCAGTCAAATATCATGGCTCTATGCCTGTCCCTTCTTCAGGAGAAGTCGTTTAAAGGAAAAGTTGACGGACGACGACGGACGGACGGACGGACGACGCAACAAGACATAAGCTCACCTGCCCTGCAACTGACTGTGACTTAAGACCAAATTTGGTAGCTAGAACACAAAACATCTCTTAAACGGTTCTGAAGATATTGTTGTTTGAAACTTAAAATTTTAATTTTAAAGCTTTTAACCCATATTGACCTTTGATTCCCGATTTGTACATAAATTTGACCTTTGACCTCATTGCTGTAATGAGGAAAACAATTCACACAGCTGTTCTACATAACATACCCAAGTATGATGACTTTACTCCAAATGGTTCTTAGGATATTGTTGTTTTTAACATATTTTACCCCTGTGATCTTGAAAGTAGGTCAAGGTAATTTTAATGAGGAAACTTCATAGCACTCCATCCCAGGTACCTACTGGCCAAATATCATGACCCTGGGCCTAATGGAACTTGAGAAGAAGATTGTTAAAGCATTTAACCAAAGTTGACATTTGACCCCTGACAAGCATTTAAAGTTGACCTTTGACCTCATAACTGTAACTGAGAAAAATATTCGCACTGCTGGTCTACATAACATACCCAAGTATGATGACTTTACTCCAAATGGTTCTTAGGATATTGTTGTTTTTAACATATTTTACCCCTGTGATCTTGAAAGTAGGTCAAGGTAATTTTAATGAGGAAACTTCATAGCACTCCATCCCAGGTACCTACTGGCCAAATATCATGACCCTGGGCCTAATGGAACTTGAGAAGAAGATTGTTAAAGCATTTAACCAAAGTTGACATTTGACCCCTGACAAGCATTTAAAGTTGACCTTTGACCTCATAACTGTAACTGAGAAAAATATTCGCACTGCTGGTCTACATAACATACCCAAGTATGATGACTTTACTCCAAATGGTTCTTAGGATATTGTTGTTTTTAACATATTTTACCCCTGTGATCTTGAAAGTAGGTCAAGGTAATTTTAATGAGGAAACTTCATAGCACTCCATCCCAGGTACCTACTGGCCAAATATCATGACCCTGGGCCTAATGGAACTTGAGAAGAAGATTGTTAAAGCATTTAACCAAAGTTGACATTTGACCCCTGACAAGCATTTAAAGTTGACCTTTGACCTCATAACTGTAACTGAGAAAAATATTCGCACTGCTGGTCTACATAACATACCCAAGTATGATGACTTTACTCCAAATGGTTCTTAGGATATTGTTGTTTTTAACATATTTTACCCCTGTGATCTTGAAAGTAGGTCAAGGTAATTTTAATGAGGAAACTTCATAGCACTCCATCCCAGGTACCTACTGGCCAAATATCATGACCCTGGGCCTAATGGAACTTGAGAAGAAGATTGTTAAAGCATTTAACCAAAGTTGACATTTGACCCCTGACAAGCATTTAAAGTTGACCTTTGACCTCATAACTGTAACTGAGAAAAATATTCGCACTGCTGGTCTACATAACATACCCAAGTATGATGACTTTACTCCAAATGGTTCTTAGGATATTGTTGTTTTTAACATATTTTACCCCTGTGATCTTGAAAGTAGGTCAAGGTAATTTTAATGAGGAAACTTCATAGCACTCCATCCCAGGTACCTACTGGCCAAATATCATGACCCTGGGCCTAATGGAACTTGAGAAGAAGATTGTTAAAGCATTTAACCAAAGTTGACATTTGACCCCTGACAAGCATTTAAAGTTGACCTTTGACCTCATAACTGTAACTGAGAAAAATATTCGCACTGCTGGTCTACATAACATACCCAAGTATGATGACTTTACTCCAAATGGTTCTTNACCAAATATCATGAACCTAGGTCCTTCAGTTCTTCAGAAGAAGTCGTTCAAAAGAAAAAGTTGACGGCCGGACGCCGGACACCGGACGCCGCAGTACGGCATAAGCTCACATGGCCCTTCGGCTAAAAACTACAGCAAATATTACATTACATATCTACAACAAATTAATATAACTCCAGAATTTAAGATATAATGATAAAGACTATACCGATATTGTAAAACGTTATATCTTTAAACTATTCAACAGTTGACAATTAGGATTAACTCATTAAAACCATATTTCCAATTGGGAAATATGATAGTGGTTGGATTTCATAGAAGACATACCACTTTCAACGAGTTATTCCCCTTTATATGAATTTTGAATACATATCACCACAAATTGTGGATACGATGACACCAAATACCAACAATAGATTCACGGATTTCAGATTCAATTGCAACTTATACATCAAACTAGATTCTGAAAAATAAGTACCGACTGTCCTCAAAAAGTGCTGAGGTAACCAAGTACTGACTAAACCTCATATACATATGCAAAAAAAAAAATAAAAAAAATGTAAAAACTCATAATTTACTTACTTTTATCAAGTAGGCACTTAAGTTCATAATTTTTTATGAACTATGCAAAATTACTATCATAACTTAATTCTTTAGAAAAAGTCTCGCAATGGATAAGCGCCGTATCTACAATATTGTGTTTCCCTCAGAGAATAATTCTCCCCTGATAGGTAACAGATGATTATTCTGGGCAGCAGAAAGGGCTGATTTTCTCGAGGCATGCGTTTCGTTAAGCTAACCAGGCTTTTACCGGATTGGCCACTTGCAATGTTCCCAAATGAAGGTAGTTTGTAATCAGTGTTTCGATTGGTCAAATCAGGAACAAGGTTACCGCGAGCGGTATATAATACGCCCGTCACACATTGAATGAGCAGTTGTTTGTATGATTGAAATATATGAAGTATTTGTGAGTAATTGATATTAAAAGAGAAATCATTCAACATAACTGGTAGATCAATGAGTGCAATACAACATCATGGAACGCATGCATCGCATTAATGAAACCAAGGG